GTGAAAGAGACACTGATTGGGGAAGTAACATTGTCTTTGCCAGCTGCTGTCACTGGCAAGCAGACTGGGAGTTGATTTGCACTCATTACTTGGAAATGAGTAGAGCCGGAGGATGAGGACCGCATTACTCCGATCGCGTGTGATTGGAGATGTTGTGCAATGTTAATCTCCTCCCTCTGTGTCCCCAAGATATAGAAAATAAATGGAGATGAAAATCTTGCTCCGCATCTTCACAGTGGGCTGTGGATGATACAAATGGAAGCGGAGAACTGATTATGCAACCGTGGTCCCCTTCCCCTCAAGATAAGGGATTCTATCCAACCAATAATATAATAACCAAACCCCTTTTCAGCGAGAGGTATTTCTAAATACTGTGGCTCAGTCAAATGGATGGAGAGGGAAAATGTATCTGTATGTGGCTTTTAGCGCATTTTACAACTTTTAGGACCTAATGATTTAAATAAGAGTATTTTAAGTCTCTGCACTGGGAAGTTGGTTTACCTCAAATGTGATTAAATGCTGCTTTACATTCATGTCTTTCCCAATGAAAGTCAGTGGGAAAAAGTCATGTTGGGCCCAATGGCATCATGTGACTGACACCAAAGTTGTGGGTTCACCGTTTGGCCACTACTGGAATTCGCTTCAACGCCTGTAGCTCTTCCTGGGGGCTTGGTGCACATACACCCACAGTAGTGACCTTTAAGGAAGGACAGAATGTACTGTATTAATAATCAGATTTCATTAGAGACCTCCCAGTTTACAGATTTCACTGTATAAACACCTAAAGCTCTGACTCTCAAACTGTGCTCGGTGTCTTTACTGATTAACTTCAGACACGTGCCCTTCGTGCTCATCGCATTGTCTGGGTTGAGTATAAAGGCATGGCTTGTGTCTGATTTTACATACTACTACTCTTTTTCCCCATCTACTTCCCATTCTGCTTGGCACTCATTAGGGACCAACTGGGTGTTAGAGGCCATCTCATGTCTGTCATACCAGATAATGGCCGCCATGCTCTTTACCATGCACCTTGTTCACTCTGATCTTTACGGACATCATTATCCTCTCCATGTGATCCAACAGAGAGTGCTGTTTTAATGTTAACCAGAGATTTTGGAATGACTCTACCGTACATCTCTTTTCTTTTAGAATTATGTGCTTTTTGTTTCATCATACAGCCTTTGAAATGCAGTGTAAACGCATTCAAACCGAGATATCTTGTGGTGTTCATTTTCTGTCTCTTCTTTTTCAAACATTTCCTCTTATCATCAGCACATTGCTCTTTCAGTGGCCATTCGTAATTGCTGATTTTGCTACAGTATCTTGTTGTGTGCCGCTTAATAAGCAGGCTTGCTATCAATTACTAGTGCAGCAGGAATGAACACCTGCCTTGTTCTCACTCCATTACCTTCCTGGCACATAACATGCCTTTTAGTATATTTCATATATATTGGCTTTAAAACCATATCTAGATCTTTTTTGTTGTTTTTTAAAGGACCAATCGATGTGTCACTCCCACCTTTTTCCACACCTCAAACAATGCCATCTCCCTATTGGGCTACGTCTTTGTTCTTCCACTTGTTCTTTTTTTCTTCTTTTTGAAAGCAAAAGTCATTTCCTCTGTGCCGTCCCTCTCCGTCGCACATGCCCACAGGACACACTATTTCATCTTGCTTTGAACTCTTTTTAATTTTGCGCAGTAGCAGTTTTTTATTAACATATTTATTCATTTATGACTCCTCTCAGAGCCCTTTGCATATGAGCACACCTTTTATTCTCTCATTCTCTCTCTTTCCCTTTCACCCCTGTCGGCTCTCCACAGAGAACGGGCCCCCCTAATGCAGTGTTAGTTTAATCCCTGCCACCCTGTCGGAGGCTATTTTCTCTGGCTCCTTTTTTTACTTACTACCAAGCAGTGAACAGGGCCAGAGTTTTCTGTCTCTCTCCTCTCACCAGCTCCTGTCCAGACATTCGTAACCCTGCTCACAGAGGGGTTTTTTTCAAGGGAAAGAAGAGCTTCTCTGCAGTGCTCAAGGTCAAGGTGTCTTTCTAGCCAGTGCACAGCGGATCATCCCCTTCCACTCTCCCCGACACCCATTTCCCACCCTGATGGCAGCCACCTGTCAATGGCTGAACTCCCCCACCTAGATAATAATAACCTAGCCAGAGAGCATCTTTCATCAAGTGTCCTCTCTCCATTTGAATAGAGGGAGATTCTGGGCAGGATTCTGAAGAGACAGCTCCTCCTGATATGGGGTTTCTCGCAAGGTGGCTGTGACAGCAAAGGGGATGCAGGGTGGTTATAATTGGAGCAAGGTCATGTGAAAGTTGCCTAACAGTTTGCTTATTTCCCTAGCACTGAGATTGAACCTGGAAAGGAAAATAACCAATTAAACAGTTGAAGTGTGTATTGTATGTGGATGGTATTCTTAACCATGAAAGCTTACAAGTTCTACAGAAGGCTATGTCAGTCTGAGTCCATCCACAGTTTTGTTCTAGACAAAGATATCTCTACAGACAAACATGGATTACCGTGATATTATGTAAAGACATTCTTTTTTAAAGGTCCCCTATCACACTGTTTTACATCAATATATTATAGGTCTTCGATATATACAAAACATGTCTCTGAAGTGTTTGGCTCCAAACACCAAACAGATCATTGCAGCATCCCATAATCCCCTCTGTTTCAGCTCTGTTTCCAAAGTGCTGATTCTCTGTCTGTTACTTTAGATGAAAATAAGGAGCCACTCCCCACGCCCCTCTGAGAGAGATTTGGTTAAAAAGAACACAATGGTGCTCTAGGAGGAGATTAGGTGATAAGGTGGGGGGGGGTTACCTTGGTTGGTGATTGGCTAATGGTTACTCAAGCCAATAAATCGTTATGACATCATAAAGTGGCCAAAATCTGATCAGCTCATTTTCAGACAGGTTTTTTATAAATGGATCAGGACAAAAAGAGAGGGAATCTTTTTTCCTGAAACTTTCAGAATCTCTTTACACAGAGTTGATGTATAAAAGACATGAACAAGTGGATTATGCATAATAGTAGGGCTGCTTGATTATGGCAAAAATCATAATCACAATTATTTTGGTCAATAATTGATATCACGATTATTAAATACGATTATTCATTGACTTTGAAAATATCCATTTATTGAACTTTAAAACAAAAACAAATAATAATTTGAACAGTCTTTTTTGAACTGTTGATTACCCTGAACGTATAATTCAACTGAAAAACCAATACTAAAATAAATGATATATTTACATTTAAATAAATAATATCAAAATAATAAATACCAATAACAGGGTGTCCGCGGGGTCTTAAAAAGTATTAAAAGTTGATAAATCAATTTACCGAAAATGAAGGCTATTAAAAAGTATTAAATGGCATTTTTCAAGGTATTACATTTTGTAGCTTGTTTGTTTTCAATAAGTATATCAATTGTCCAAAGAGGTTGTATTCTACAGTCAGCCTGAATGTAATCATTGCGTAGGTGTGTAGTGTGATTCTGTGTAGTTTATTTATGGCATCCCGTTGGATTTGACGTCATCTGAACAGGACATCGCTCACTGCTTGATAGCGCGCGAAGGTCCGTTTACGCCGGTTGTTAAACAACATCGTTATGGGGAAATGCAAGTCTGCGTCCAAATGGTTGGAAGATCAGGAGGAAGGACCAATCAATACTGTATATAGTAAATGTGAGGTAAAGTGTGTCGCCAATGGAACCGGTTAAAACTCAAAGTGGCGATGAGGTCTTAAAATGTATGGAAAGGGTCTTAAAAAAGGTCTTAAAAGGTATTACATTTGACTTCAGGATGCCTGTATATACCCTGATTAAACAAGATCAACAAATATTTCGGAGCGAACATCCACAAGCTAATAAACATATATAAATATGATAAATACAAATAAATTAGACTAAAAATAAATTAGATCAAATATGTTGCAGTGCACTGTCACAACCTAGCAAAGCAAAATAATTGTTTTTTCCATTATGTTGTTTTCGTAATTGTGGCAGACCAAAATCGTAATTGCGATTAAAATACGATTAATTGCACAGCCCTACATAATAGGTGACCTTTAAAAGGATGCATCCTACTGACTGTGGTGTAACAAGTAAAATATATCTACAAATGACTCGGGTCAGATGTTTCACTTCCATTGAAATATCTCTATATTCACTAGAATGACTGGATGTTCACTGAAAAAGCATCCTAATGGCTTTTTTTCTCGTATGTCTCCATGAGGATCACATTCAGGTTTTTGAGTTAATAATCCTGATCATTTTAAATTGGATTACCATGACATTTGGTTCAGACATTCATCCTCCGTATATTTTCCTCCACCGCCATTGTCATTTTTTTATTTTCATCCATGCAATACTTCCTGAAAAACGAACATCCTAGTAGCCTTACAGTAGCTGTACTCTACTACTGTTGTGTAGTGCTAATGAGCAAATGTTACACACTGTAAAATAAACGTTGGACTTGGTAAACATTATACCTGCTTAGCATAAACATGTTAGCATTCTCAATTTGAGCATTTTAGCAATGACTTTAAAAGACAAAATAGCGTGACTTTATGGACTAAAAAAACGTGTTTATCTATTGTATATTACAGCGCATTTTCAGAAAATGTACTAGATATTGAGATACTCTACTTTCTTTTTGCCTTATTCCATTCTCACAAAGTTGCCTGCATATATGTGGGCTTTTTTTACATTTATTCTGAATGTCTATTTGGATGACTACAGTAATTCCTCTGCTCGGGTTATTTTCCTTGTGGATTGGTGCTGATCTCTGGAGTGTAATCTTTCTCTCCCTCCCTACCGACATAATCCCTTCTTTTTTCACCTACCACACTCACCCCTCTTTTCCTCTTCCCCTGCCTCCCTCAATCAGATGGATAGATAAGATGCAGGCTCAAGGGGGCATTACAGGTGCTGAGCCTATTTCTTAAGTGCTCTGTCTCTCTCTCTCTCCCTGTCTTTCAGATGCCAAGGAGATCGTTTTGAAAGCTCAGATCCTGGCCGGTGGCCGAGGCAAGGGTGTGTTCGACAGTGGTCTTAAAGGTGGAGTGCACTTAACAAAGGAGTAAGTATGCCCCTATCTACATCACACTGTGAGTTCCTGAAGGAAGAGGGATTCATATTATTTCTCCCGCGACGGCGTCTTTTAGAGTGAGGAGGCTCAAAGCGCTCTCTGAAGACGTTCCCCAGACACAAAGACACAGTCAGGATTACTTGTGCTCCAAGTAAACAGTTTTTCTTTCTTCCGTAGCCGCGTTTTCGAGCGCCTACCCTCAATTAAATGTTGAGAAGGGGATTTTAAGGTCGACTGAAGCGTTTTGCACCTCATACGGAGTTTTCTTCTCCTGTGTTGATTTGGTTCTGTGCAGCTGCTGAGTTTATTTTGTTTCAGCTTGGAGTTCAAATGCAAAGTGTGATGAGTTTATGTATTGGTGTGTATCATGTGCATTTTTCAAAAGGTGAAATTGTTTTTCTTTACTCAGGCACTGCAGTTTCCTCTGCCAAAGTCCCATGCACTAAAACAGTGCGATCTTTTTAGTAAAAGTACCGGCCAGCTACTCCCCGCCTTAAAGGCAAAAAAAAAGTGATTTATAACAATCGTCCCAGATATGTATCATCTTCACCCTACTTTAGGGTTCAGAACGTCCGGAATCTTTTTCAAAGTGAGATATGCTGATGTTTATCGTCCCCAGACAGTGATAGGAGTGCGCAGTTCACCTTCCTCTCATCTATCAAAGGATGAGTACAACCCCGGCTTCTTTTTCATTCGCGAACAAAACCAGAGCAGGCTTGAAGAAGCTGCTCTGGCACGCAGGCAGGCTTTAAAACAGAGAGTACACATTGAGGTTCATTCATAGTGATGTGTAGATGTAGCAAAATGTATCCAAAAACTGTGCTTTGTCAGACTACGTTACACAAGGTGCTGAGGCTCTTCAAATAAACTCCTCGGAGATAAATAAATACTTATTTGTGTGTCAGTTCACCTGCTTCTCTAATCTTTCATTTTGTAAATGTTTTTTCTTTGCAGTGATTCTTAGAATAAAAATTAGGGCTCTTTGACTTAAACCCTTTTCCCTTTCAGCCCTGCTGTGGTTGGTGAGCTGGCCAATCAGATGCTGGGTTTTAACCTGACTACCAAGCAGACGCCCAAAGATGGAGTGAAAGTGAAAACGGTGAGCCTCGTCCCAGACTGAAGGAATGAAAGATAGACTCTGCTCTTTCTTTGTGTTTTTTTTCCCCTGACCTCATTTCAAGGCGTTTTGAGTCCAGTAATGCAGTTCTATAGAATTAATGACTGTGAAGGCAGTCTGGCTCTATGTTTTTCCCCCCCCCGTTTTTTTAATAGTTGCCCTACGCTGTTGTTTACTGTGGGTTAGCGCCAGTGACGTGCGGTGAGGTTCATGGCTGGTGAGGCACTGACTCTTTCAGTCAGATTTACAAATATTATAGCCTATTTTGACCTTAATCGAAATATTCTGTTATTTTCAAAAGCTTTTTTAGTCTGATGCTATGATTAATTTTAAACAGACCGATCAACAAAAGGATACCCAAAATCTAAATATTGGATTGTTCTTTCTAAGTAAGATCCCATTTTAATTACAGTTGTGGTCTTACCTTGACTTGAAGATGAATATAAGTCCATGCTATCCTTCTGGACAACAATCTCTATTACTGTTTTGTAAAAGTCCTCCGTATCTTCCTGTAGTTTCAAAAGTTTTGTTTGTTGTTTGCGGTAGAATAACAGTAGCAACAAGAACCTGTGGGCTCACGTGCGCCCCCTTCAGTGCGGCAGAGGTTATGGCTGCCTCCCCATGTAATTGTTTCATTGCCGTTGTATGATAAGACCAGCGAGCCTAAATATGATATATACGTGAAATAAGTTATTTAGAGACTATGGATGGCGAGGATAAATGTAATAAAGGGATCTACAAACATCACATTGGTGACCTACAGTGAGATGGTAACAGGCATGCGCTTAGGGCCCGCTTTCCAGCCAGTTTCTGTGGGGTGACACATTCTGAATTGAGGCAGAGCTCATCTGTGCCTCCCCTCAGAATGCGTCACCCCACAGTAAATGGCTTGAGCGCGCTCACAAAATAAGTGGCCCCGCTAAATTAGTGCCCGCGCTCCAGCAAGTTACTGTGGGCTTACGTGAGGCAGTGCTCGTGCCTGCCTCACTTCTCATCGCTCCCGTAGCGGAGCTCGGCAAATTTGCTGATTTTGACTATAAAATGCGATTGGAATCATACAGAAATCACATTTACACAAGATCAGTGGAGACATTTTATTATTATTATTTAGTTTTTCTTTAATTGTTTTTCCGTTACATTGGAGTATGACAGGTGAGGCTCTGCCTCCCCTGCCTCCACTGACTGCACGTCGCTGGTTAGCGCTGGCCGGTGTTATGCCTCATTGCATAAATTGAACCGGGCCCACTGTGAATTTAAAGTGTTTGGTAAACAACTGTTTCTATGTGCCACTAACAAGCTGGAATATCATTTTCTCCGCTCGCATGCTGCATGCCGTACCTCCTCAAAACAGACATTTCCAGGTGATGAAGCCTTCTCAGTCTTTTGTTCGTTTCGTTGTCTCTCCCCATGTCGGATTCCCCCCCGCTTCCCCCCATTCTGCTCCCACTCCTGCTGCAGACTTTAGGTGGAAACAAATAAGTGTCACTCACAATTTTATAGAAAGCACCTGTGGACTTCACAAAGCTTAGAAATAACTCCATTTGTCAGAGGCTTTGGGAAAGATAAACAAACGGCAACATAAACCGGGCAAAAGGTAAATTGGAAGTGAGGGAGAGGAAGCGATGACCTCCAAGGGGCCATCTAAATTGTCCTACAGAGAAAATCCTCTTTTGGCTCTGAAATCACACCTGGCAAGAGCAGCAGCTGAGTGACCTGAAGGGTCGAGTACAGTAACAGTCACAACCTGGTCTGCCAGAGCTTAGCCGTCAACCTGCCGATGGAGCTCGCGTCAACCCTTCAACCCGTACCGCTCCACGGAGCAGAGAGCACCACGGGGAGGGAGGACAGTAACTCAGCATCTACATGGATTTGCTGTCATGGCACTGATAGAGGGATGAGGAGATAAGGGAAGATGAAGCAGAGGTTGTGAAAGATGGATTTGGAAGAAGACTGAAGGAGGCTAAAACAGGGTTAGAAGAAAGGTAAAAAATGGTGGGAATAGAATACTTTTTTAGTGTGAGTGTGAGACGAGGGAAGAGAGTGTTTGAGTGACTGGAGAAGACAACATTTGGACAAGGAGATAGGGGCGCTGTCTGCGAACATGCAGTGTAGAGAAGGCTATCCATCCTCATTTGCTGGGCGATTGGGTGGAAGCAGAACATAAGGGCTGGGCATGTTCAAACAAACACTTCATCCGAAAACCTGCAGCCCATTAACCACCACACAACTCCTTTCCCTTTTTTTCTTCCAAATGAGCCTCCTGCTTGCTGCCTTTTTCTGCTTATCTGCCAACTCTCAGCTGCTCTCTCTCCTCTCTATTTGCCGCCCTTTCTCTCATTCACAGCATATGAGATTTTCTTTAGAGCATTGATTCTACCAATCTGCTTTTTGCCTTGGCCATTGTGTTCGATGTAGTATTGGATATAGTGAACATTTAAGAATGTACATTTCACCAAAATGCTAAGAAACACCAATATTGTTGCCATCAGGGCCACAGTACATACCTTATTTTATTTTGTATTAGTTTATTCCACAGGGACAGTGCACATTAATAGATATTTCTATGAGTCATCAGGTATCTTTGATCTGTAGTCTTTGCACAGATGTTGCTAAGTCACCCTAAAAACACATTTGAATATCAAAAAATAACATGAAGTCAAGTTTGTACCGTAGCAACATTCCTCATCAGCCACGCTTCCTCCTGCTGTGCCTGTCCAGGTGATGGTTGCTGAGGCTCTGGACATTACCAGGGAGACGTACTTCGCCATCCTGATGGACCGCGCCTGTAACGGCCCTGTCATGGTAGGCAGCCCCCAGGGAGGTATGGATATCGAGGAGGTAGCCGACAAGACCCCAGAACTCATCTTTAAGGTAAATGATTTGTAGCTCACACCCATCACTACAAGATCTAATGGGGAAAAATAACAGAATAAAATATATCAGCGCTAAAAACTAAGTAGGAGCGACTGGTATCGCCCCCTTCCAAAATATGTCTCTTTTAATCAAGGCACTGGTGGCCCCCCCCCCAAACACATTTCTTTTTTGAGATGTTGAAATAAATTGATCTTGTCAGGCACAGATGAACTCATAAGAAAGGTGCAAACCCCTTTGCTATTTTCCCTCTAAAATCTTACTATTCTTTAATCAATAAAAGTATTTGCCTTGAAAGCGTGCCAATGTAAGATTGACACACATATGGAAACTGTGCTCAGTCTATACATGTATAGTCCTGCCTGTGTGAGCACTGCAGCAGCTGAACATGACGCTCACATACAACAAAACACTCAGGCTTAACATGACAGCTACACAGCTTTGTTGCTATGGATTAGATACCATTTACTTAGTCACTTGGGTCCTTGGCAACAGGTCCTTTTCATTGTTAACAGATGTACAATTGAAGCATTACAGCTGGCGTTTGCCTCCGTATTTCTATATATCCTCCTTGCTAGGGTTTGCAGATGTTTGAGTAGATTGTAAAGATCATGCTGAGATTGATGTCATTCATTATTTTCCACTGCAGGTATTGTATGTGCGCGACACGGCTGTTGAGTTGCTATATAACACATTTCACGCTTTACACATCTCATTAAAATCTATATGTTCCAGAACTGCTTTATACAGCATTGTTTTTTACGAGCAACGACAGTCACAGTCACACTTTGATTATATCCCCCTTAAATCCCTCATCCATTTTTATACCTCAGGAGAACCAAATAAGCGAACTTCTTTTTTTCTGAAAGTCAAAGACACAGGAGTCTGATGGTCATAAATCCATCGCTTCAGCCCCGAGTCACCTTTTTCTCTGCGTCTGACAGCTTGCCACTAGCTGCCTAATTATGATGTCGGCAGTTTAATATGAACATCCGCTTTGTGTCAAATTATAGCCAAACCTCTTGTTCTCCCTCACTCCCTTTCTTCATTTGTTTCCCTCCCTTTTTCTTTCTCACTTTCACTGCCAATCTTATAGGAAGTCATTGATATTTTTGAAGGCGTGCGAGACGACCAGGCTCTTCGCATGGCAGCTAATTTGGAATTCAAAGGACCTCTGCAGAGACAGGTAATGTGTGCTCAGAAGGCTTTAAAGACACAATGCACACACAAACATATGGATGTATCCTCGTTGACAAACAGACCAAACTTTGGCTATTCATAGTTTTCTAGAGGCAAGTTGTGAAGTGTCACTACACTAGGCTCTCTTGCCAGGTGGTCTATTGTCAGATATCCGGCTGTGACGCACACCCCGGCTGAGGGAAACTTCACTAATGGTACCATTATTCCATAGAGCATGCTCCTATTGATTTTGTCAGTGAATCAATCGGTAAGAGACACTTCGGGCAGCCTATAATTCTAAGGACAGTTAAATATATTGTTTTTTCTAGTCACCTCAAATGAAAATATCTTGCTCAGACAGCATTAGCTAGCAAAATGTGAAATTGTTCATGAGCACGCCAAGTTCACTTCAGATCACTTCTTCTCTACAGTCACAGTGGCATTATCAATCAATGTAGCTCAGAATCTTAGCAAACAGCATATGTGGAAATCAGCAAAGTATATCTAGCAAACTGAAAGGCAAGGATATCTTCAGTTCTGTTCGCATCCAATTGTATGCAATGCTTTTTTTTGCAGGATACTGAATAGGCATTGATTTCAAACAGGCAAGCAGAGAAATAGAAAGTAATTGGTTAAGTTTCTGCATTGTCGGTACGCCTTTCCTCGGTTGCTGTGAGTCGGCTGCCAGACTGTTTAATTCAGAGATAATTGCCGCTCTTCTTATAAAATACCTCTGCTGTCTTGAATGAGCTATGGGGATGACAGGATCTTTGTGTGAATGCAAGTGTGTGTGAAAGAGAAAAAGTAAGTGAGATTGGTGGACGGTGCATTCAGAAGTCTTTCAGTGCAATGTCAGGCTGTCGGCATTACTAAAGAACCGTTGCAGCAATAGAGAGATCAATTGAAAGGCTTATAAATGGGGGGTTTTGACTGAGAAGATTTAAGTGTTGTGGTATATCCAGAGGTGGAATTCTAATTCATTAAAAGTACTAATACAGTACTGTTCAAATATTCTGGTACAAGAAAAAGTCCTTCATTGTCAATGTGTTTCGTTAAAGTATTACATGTCAAATTAACAAATGCAAAGATATCTAAAATTAAATTACTCAATTAAAATTAATCATAAAAGCAAGAGATGTGTGTGTGTATATGTGCATATGTGTGCATATATATATATATATATGTATTTATTTATTTGACTATTTATCTATTTATTTACCTATTATTAAACAATGAAGTATACCTATATTATGAAGCAAATCATGTATAAATACAACGCCATATGCATACATCAAATGTAACTGACACTGTAATCCCCCTACCCCCCACCCTTCATGTTATGTCCTGTCCTACTTGTAATGTATGTGAGCCATGTCCTTGTCCGTGTGTTTTTGTCTTTTGAAAATGTTTAATAAAATATAAATGTTAAAAGAAAAAGATTATTCAACATTTATGAAATTGACTTTATAGATACCAATTAATGATCCCTAAATTGTCCAATTGATTAATCAACTAAGCTGTTCTTGTTTACGTTTTTTAAAGTTTCATTTATAACAAAACATCATATTTAAGAAACTACTGTATTCTTTATGTAAAGATCTTGATTTCTAACGTAAATTAAGATGCATATTGTACATTAGAAAGTAGAATATTTTCCTTTTGGATTGTAGTGGAGTAAAGGTGTAAGTGGCATTAAATAAAACCACCTGACTTTTGCACTGAAGTACGATACTTTAGTATATACTCACTTTTGCCCGGTATAAATCCTGTATGAAAAAAATCAGGGTGAAAATAACACAACAATAAGATGTTATCACAGTACTTTAGTCCCTATATGATCTAATGCCTATTATTTGTTTTGTTATTTGCGATATGAGTAAGAATTACAAAAACATATATTGCACACTTTTACCTTTTGAACAACTTTAAATTATGCATTTTGGTTTATACATCGGCATTGCATTGATCAACCCTCGTGGTGCCGACTTCACCTGCTGAACTCAATACAAAAAGATGAATAACCAAACTAATTAAGAATGATTTAGTTTTTTCAATAATAAAACTGGTTGAATAGTAAAAGATAGATACTTGGCAGTCGTGTATAGACGCAATATTACATTACATTTCATTTAGCTGACGCTTTTATCCAAAACGAATTACAATAAGTGCATTCGACCAGGAAGATACAAACTTGAAGAAAACAGAATCATAAAAGTACATCAGGTTTCGTAGAGCCAAAACATTTCAAGTGCTACTCAACTAGCTTTTGATAAGCCAGTCCTTTGTTAGTATATAAGTGCGTTTTTTTTTTTTCATTTTATTGCTCGAAGTGGAGTCGAAAGAGAATATTGCCACTCGAAAATCAGAATATGATATGCTGTATTGTTTGTTGTCCCCACACACACACTGAGAAGTGCATTATAATGTTATATATCTATGTAGCCATATTAGTCTGTGATGCATGTCCTATTTGCCAGTCGTCACATATTTAGAAACAAACTCAGAGTGTCATGTTGAAGGTGGTTCGTCATGTTTTATGCATCCTGTGCGGGCGGCTGAGCGGCCTTGGTGGGGCCGAACCGTGAAGTAATAATTACTGTATTATATGTCCCTCGCAGGCGGCAGATCAGATTAAGAGGCTCTATGATCTGTTCATGAAAGTCGACGCCACTCAAGTCGAAGTCAATCCTCTCGGAGAAACTCCCCAAGGACAAGGTACCATGTTTCGCATGCAAAGTCCTCTCCTTGTGTGTCTGTATTTGTGTTATGTCATTGCATGTGTCATTAACTGCCACACAATCAATGTTAAACATCAATATTTCACCTCTTTACACAGAGAGCAGTTTTGTGCATGCAGCCACCTGTTAACCACTCTGCCAGATACAGGCACACTTATCTCCTCGGGTCTGAATGCGTTTTGCAAAGTGTAATTGCAACACGTTGACGTCAGTTTCGTGTCAGCATGACTTTGTCTTGATCAAAATCCAAATGGCTTCAGGGAGCAGAGATTTCCATATTCATGGGATGTTGATGTTTGTTGATGATTCCTAGTTGCTGATGATTAACTAAAAGCGTACAGCCTATCATCAACTAGTAATGAGGTATTACAGCAGCAGCAACATCCTTCATTTACTCCACAGTCGTCAAACAGCAGCCACTCAGGGGAAGCTCTGTAAATATGTAAAAAAAATAAAAGAACATCTGATAAGATGAATGCTTCAACCAATTTAAATGCTGTATACATGCTGTATATCAGGCCTTAAAATGTCCCAGTAGCTAACCCATTAGAGCTATTTCACCATGTACAAAGGCCTAACCTCAGCAACATATGAAAACGTGGCCTTTTGCTGCATGTCCTCCCCCCTCTCCCCCCTTTCCTGTCTATCTTTGGTTATTGTATCCATTATAGGATAGTACATCTATTAAAAAGATAACCAAACTTAACAACATTTCAATTGGTTTTTATTTAGCGTGATACCATTTGTGTCAAGTTTTGTTTTATTAGAATTAATCAAAAACTCTTCAGCTTCATAACTTATAAAACCATAATCCAATGTTTTCTTTGTAACATGTAGCTGAACAGTTCTTTTAATTACTACCTTTTATATTTTAGAATATAAAAAACTAATTAAAAAGGGTTGGAAAAAGACCATCTTGCATTCCCTTTCTTAATAGAAGTATTTCAATGTCATTTCAAATGGTTTCTGTTGCAATATTCATTGTCTTGTGTTGAAATGTGCTTCATAAATAATCTGGCCTTGCCTCACCTGTAAAGCGGTGTAAAAGAGTGGTAACAATGTAAGATTAATGGAGGTCTGAATTGACAGTCGTTCTTTCTTAACAAGCGACACAATTGCCTGGTTACTTTTCTCTTGACGACCTCCTATGTGATGGGTCAGAAAAAAAGGTATTTTAATAATGTGTTAAATGCGACTTTGAGTACAACTTTCATTTCTTTTACGGGTCAATCTTAAACTCATGGGCTCAAATCCTGCCTCAGTCCAGAGTCTACAGTCGTTGCATGTGTTTCTCTCTCTCTCCCTCTGATATAAACACTTGAAATCCCAGAGACAAACCGAGGAATGTGTAAAAGAAATGTGAGAAATGCAGTCCCTCAAAAGTCATTTAGCACAATACATTTCACAACAAGACACCAGGGGAGGTTAGCACGCAAACATTTCAAGCGCTCATCATTGAGACGAGAAATACATTAAGCATTGTCTGACATGAAGCATATTATAGCTGTTGTGCTGCGCTGTAGTTGAACTTGTTCTGAACTTTGTTTTCCTCCCAAAGAATTAAGAGTGATTGTCTTGTCTGTGGAGCCGAACAAAGATTGACTGTGAAGCGTCCTATCGAGACGTATTTACTACACGCTGAAAATGCATCGCTTCTTTGATGTTATTTAGTCTCCACTAGAGCAGATTCTTGTTCAAAGTATGCTTTATCAAAGATTGACAAGAGAAGTTTGTTGTTTCATGATTTCTTATGAATATTAATGAATAAAATGAGTCCTTTTCAAACGATGAATTTTCACAGAGAGGTACGAGTTTCCTTTTCTAGCAGTAGGAAGACGCAGTGGCTGTGATTGAGGCAGGCTTTGTAGACAAGCTTCACATTAAAAATCCTTCTTTGGTTCGATTTGTTCACACGTCACTAGGGAACGCTGCTGTTCTCCGGCAGGCATTCAAAAGAGACGTGCGTTGGGAAGGGACATTTCTCAAGGGTGGAGAATTTGTATTTTTTTGTCTCATTTTGTTATAGCTCAATTCATTTTGTAGATGGACTGCAATAATGGATATGTCAAAACAAAATATATTTGTGTAGCGGGAGTGCAACTTCACCGAGAGGACACATACATCTCCATCTCCCAAGTCCCGTGTGTGTGTGTGTGTGTGTGTGTGTGTGTGTGTGTGTGTGTGTGTGTGTGTGTGTGTGTGTGTGTGTGTGTGTGTGTGTGTGTGTGTGTGTGTGTGTGTGTGTGTGTGTGTGTGTGTGTGTGTGTGTGTGTGTGTGTGTGTGTGTGTGTGTGTGTGTGTGTGTGTGTGTGTGTGTGTGTGTGTGTGTGTGTGTGTGTGTGTGTGTGTGTGTGTGTGTGTGTGTGTGTGTGTGTGTGTGTGTGTGTGTGTGTGTGTGTGTGTGTGTGTGTGTGTGTGTGTGTGTGTGTGTGTGTGTGTGTGTGTGTGTGTGTGTGTGTGTGTGTGTGTGTGTGTGCATCCCAAAAGTTGTATAGACATAACAAGAAATACCCTTATTAGCATAACAGTTACATTTTCATTGGTTTAAAGTTTTCAGGTGATCCCAGCTTGTGTAAAACTATCTGGAATTTAATTTCTTTGAATGAACAATCGGGTACTGGCAAACACACATATATGCTTTCTGGTTAAGAGTTGGATTAAAAGACTGTGGACTCCCAAACTCTACAGTATCATTGAACATATCAACAACTGCTGTTAAGATTAGCACCAAGACAAAACATGAAGAGAAAGGGTTGCAGGTTTACGCCTTGTTTTGTGATGGAATATTTCAGTTACCTTCATTTCCTGGTATCCTGAGACCATATTTCTGAAGCTTCCTTCTAGAAAGACTTGATTACTAGTCATGAGATTTTAAGAATAAGGACATTTACTTAGAAAAGTTAGATAAAAACGCTTCATAGAGCATCTTAGTTGTTAGGAGAGTTCTAAGGTGAAGGAGTTAGGAGTAGGGAAGAGGGCTTTCATGAGGCTAAAGGCTTTCCAGAAAATGGCGGAAAGACAAAAAAGGAATATTTTCCAAACACTGAATAACAGTGAGTAAATGAAAAGCTACAGAGAAGATAGTGCAGGGATAACGTTTGTAGTCAATCTCATTAGAAAGAGCTCACATTTCCCACCCAGTGTATGAAATGAGCTGATAGACGCTATACATGTAACTAAATGCTCTAATTAAACCTATGAGTTTCACTCTCCACCCTAAGCCCATTATGCTAGACAGCTTTGCACACCGTCTTAGATACAAGCTAAGCAAGCTGTTAGCCCGAGTCTAAGAATATGCATTGTTTAAAACCTTTTAGCATCAACTAAGCACTATTTCAAAGAAACGTACCAACAGGGTTACCCACACCTCCTCACTAAGGTGAACGACTCGGCCCCTTTCTTGTTTACAGTTGCTATGAGAATATTCCTGACTCCTTGCTTTTGTAACTTTTGGACATTTAAGTCACAGTAAGGTAGCCAATAAACTAACTTGCCCAAAACATTAAACTATTCCTTAGATTAAGTCACTGAATATGTTATAATTCTTTGGCCTGCTATTTTTCCAGGAAAGCTTCACGAGGTTGGTCTCTTTGAAGTGTAAAGGAAATGTCCATTTACTATAATGGTATATCCCTGAGAGCCAGTGTCAAAACACCCGCCTCAGGAAGCCAACCTTTGAAATAATTAAGACCAGTACGCCGAGGGAAATTCATTAATTTCAAGTTTTAAAATGATGATTAATTTGCTTTTAATACCTAAGGTCCTCTTTCTCTTCCCTTGCCTGTGATTTTCCCTTTTCCTCACGTGTGTTGCTATATTTCTTCCTAACTCTGCTTTTGTTTTATCCTCTGTCCTCCAGTGGTTTGCTTTGATGCTAAGATCAACTTTGACGACAATGCCGAGTTCCGACAGAAAAGTGTGTTTGCCATGGACGACATGAGTGAGAGCGACCCCACGGAGATGGAGGCTGCCAAGTGGGACCTCAAATATATCGGACTGGATGGAAACATCGCCTGCTTTGGTACGGAAACAAAACCCTATAACGGAGCTCATTGCTGCACAGAAATGCCAACCATTAAATGAATTCTCACATAAGCCAACTCCTCCTGGCATAAAGCTTTAATGCGCCTCTCAAGTTGCATAAGTGAAAAGCTCAGGCACGGTTAAAACTTGGTCAAAGTAAAAGCAGCCTGGGCTCTCCTCCAGTCCACATTACGAGGAGCAGCTTTCTGAGGGCTCCAGAAGGAATGCTGCCGTAACCAATGCGTTCTAATTAGCTATAATCCGCCCTGAAAGTCTCCAGCGAGCCAGATTGTTAGCATTCTCATTAAAGGCCCCCTCTCTTGTCATAAATCAAAGCTTTTACAGTGTACAGCAGCACTAACAGGTGCTCGTGCGTCTTACCCCGTGGCCTCATAAACACATTAGATGTCTGTTAGCACTAACACTACACACACACTTTCTGCATCCCCAGCAACCAGCCTCTCTTAAAGTAACAGCAGCTTTTAAGGCCCTGCCGCTTCCTTGAGAGCTGCGTAAGCCACCAAAGTGACAGCTGTTCAAGCGAATTTCCCTTTTATTGAGACCTCTGTCGGGGAACTTGCCAGGACACAAGTACAGCTTGGCTAAACCAAATGATGTAAGACGTTTGTGTTCTCTTGGCTGCCGCACACCTCAGCAGGATGGTGGCATTGGCAGTTGGCTAAATGATGGCAAAGGCCGGGATAAAAAGGGTAGCAGAACCTCTTTTAATCAAAGCTCTTTTGTCTGAAGTCGGGAGTTGAGTCATAATCAGATGTTCACTGAGTTGCTTGATTTAAAGCATTGAAAAGAATATTTCCAACCAATTAACTTTTTTGAAAGCCGTTTGCTCTTCTTTGCTTGATATGTCTGGCTCGATTCTTTTCATGGGTTTACGAACAGTACATGTTATCTCTTCTTAAGCAGTGGTAGTGTTATTTTTAATTAACTCATAGCTGCTAGTCATACAGGGATTTGTGTTTCAATTTCAGGACTTTAGGGAGGACTAACACTCAGATAGGTACCGTTAACACTCAACATAAAAAAACGGGTACATCTGAAACAAAAAGTCTCATTCCATTTTGTTAATACTATCCTCCATATTTCAATATGCATTTTTAAATATAATTTGAACTGACTTACTTAGTGCATGTTTTACAGTGAATGGAGCCGGTTTGGCCATGGCCACATGTGACATCATTGACCTGCATGGAGGAAAGCCAGCTAACTTCCTGGACCTGGGGGGAGGAGTCCAAGAGAGGCAGGTGTACGAGGCCTTTAAGCTGCTGACTGCTGACCCTAAGGTAGGAACAACGTTTGAAATATTTTTTTTTATAGCTAAGCTAGAAAATCTTGTAACGATGAAACAAGAGCCAAATGAAGTCAGAAAAAAGTACATGTCAACTGTTGAATTGTGTTTGACATTGCAGTCATGTATCTTGTCAACGCACATTCACAAAGCCCTGTCTGTCTGTTTAGGGCTTTGTCACTGAGACAACAGTGCTCATTAGACTGGGAACCTTGGCATATGTCCTTGTTTCACTAAGAGAAACACGGTCTGGGAGGCAGTGTGAATATATCCCATCATTTAAAGTTGCAGAGGCATGATAAATCATAGCTCTGTACTCTGCACTACAACTCATATACAGTCTCATTATCACTTGTGCATCCACATACATGTACAAATGCATATTTACACACAGAACATGCTCATATGCAACCGAAAAATTAATTTTAATTTAACCCAAAAGCCTGCTTCTGAAAGTCTTGCCGCTCAGGATGAGTGGCAACTTGGGGTGTTTTACAAGTGATTCAGCTCTATGTTCTGAAAGCTAATAACTCCAAACTAAACAATATGAGCCCTGTAACCATACCGCAGTGCAGATTGTGTGTTGACAGTCATCACACCGCTAATTCCCCCGCGGCTGTCAATCCCGCTTCCCTGGAGTGAGCTCCGGTGTCCTCTCTGTTAGCATCTCTGGCGTGATTGTAATACAGAGTAAAATTTGATACCAATTTAGTCTTCTTCCCTCTTTTAAAAAAACCTATATCATCACATATGGACTTCACTTGTCATGAAATGCTTTAAAAACGTTTTTTACAGACTTTATATACAGTAAGAATGGGACGTAGTCAACATGACCCCACCCGTTTTGTTTGTGGACTAAGGTTTTGAAGTCTTGAGTTTGGTGTTTTTGCCGTCGCCATCTTGCAACCACACGTAAGACGAGAAGATGCAAGTATTTTTTATCCATCAAAAAAGTGAGAATTCAATTTCATCAACTCATTTTCTCATAGACTTCTATACATTCAAACTTCTTTTTGCAACCAGTGGCATCGCCCCCTGCTGGATATTAGCGAAAATGCAGGTTTTAGGCACTTCTGTATGACTTCACTTTTTCTCACACGTAGGTTTCTGCTGTGTTTCATACGAATTTGTCCCACCTTTACCGACCTACTGTAGGCGTAGTCATTTTCAACCACAGCTTCCAGTACTTGTTCCCGTATTTACGAGAGAGGTGGTCTCAAACTGAATTTAGATTTCCTTCTTTTTCACGAGGCTTTGAAATATATCGACTGTAATACAGGTATGGAAATTGAAGCTTTTTGTGAAGAGTTCTGCCTCGTATTTATGGCACAGCAGTGAACAGACCTGTGTTGCCCACCTTTTATACTGTAGATGAATGTTAAAAACCTCCTGACCTTAACACCCCAGCAGGTGATACAATTCCTCACTCAGATTTCCATTGTGCATAGATTCATTTTGGTCTCATGTGAATACCACTCAATGGTGGGGTAGGGGAAAAGCTAAATGAATATTGTGAATGATAAATAACTGCCATCAGCAGGGGAGGGACGCAATTACAAAGAGTAGTCACTCTCACCTGGCATGGGGCCATCAACTATAGTTTTGATTATTATTAAAGCCTTTTAAAAAGTGAGTTTCTGCAGAAGCGAACGGGTTTTAAAGTCTTCAAAAAAAAGAAGAAAACTCCTGCATCGACGAGACCATCCTCCTCCCGTTCCTCCTTCCCTTTCTGTCTTGGGCTGATTCCCTAGATCCAGATGGGGGAGTAAGCCCGCTGTCTGTCCCTCCTGCTGCTGTGTATGGAAATAGAGACAGGGAGCTCCTCCCTCACGGGGAAGAAAAGTAGAATAGGATTGACATTAAACTGGGTTGGAAGCACCATTAGCATTTCAACCAGGGGAACTGAGAAACCTGCTCTGATCTGTGGAGGGAATGTTAATCATTTCACAGAGCGCAGGAGAGAGAGAGAGCTGACAGAGAGCGCTACTCATTTGCATTTAGTTTCTCTTTTTCCACAAATTACCACTCCACAACTCAAAAATACGAGCACAATTTAAAATTAAAATCAGTCCCGAGGATAGGTGAGTATAATAAGGCAAAAAATGATTGACTAAGTTATTGAGTGAGCATTGTTTAGGCAATCAGTGCGTATGGCTTTTAAATATGCAACCCGTTGTTGACAATTTATTCACAATTTAATTCCCGGGTGCACTGGTTCACCTGCATTTCATCTCATTATTGTTCCACCTTTTTGAAAACATTTTCTTCTTCTCTCAGCTAATAGTTTTGTTGTGTTATATTTGTTTCCGCTGGTACTGCATAAAATGAGTGGCTGTGGGGAAGGACATTAATGTTGTGCTGCATACATGAATATATACACTATGTACTATTACTTTTGGAATGTTTATGTGCTGTGGTAATGACAGAAGTGCTTTTTAAAGGCCAGGCAGGCGTGAAACAGCAGGAAATATCCCGCTGTAATGACGCCACGCATTTCCACAAAAACAGGTATATTTCGGTGTATTTCTTCTCAGTCGTCTTTTTACGCTTTTGTCTGCCTCCCTCCGTCATTCCCGCTCTCTCCCTCTCGGTCCCTCTCGGTCCTCCGCTTTGATGTCTGAGGCTCATTGTGCTGAAAGGAGTGGAAGTGATGCAAGTGTTATGCTGGCAGTGAATAGCAGACGGAGATGACAAAGCCTCCCTTTCTTCTTGTCCTCTCACTTCTCCGGCATCTACCCTTACACCATTCATTACCTTAAACATTATTATTCTCTGGAAGGAAAGCAAAGGGAGTGATGGGATGGGGAAAAGGTATGTGAAGTGAGAACAACAGAAGAAAGAAAATAAAGAATAATAAAGCATTGTGTAGCCCAGTGTGTGTTAAAAAACGTGAGATGTTATGTAGCTCAGCTGGGTGTAATAGACTATTCAGCTTTGTTTGAATTCCAGCCCCCGGCTTTTTAAACGTGGACATATTTATTTTTCATGCTAAAATAAATAGCTCCACTTTCTTCATCTCCAGACACAGCACAGTCTGAATGGCTGAATTTATTGAGGTTTCCTTCATATCACCTGTAGGCACGAAGCAGGAGCAGGCATCAAATACCAACAGCCAAATTACCTGGTTATTGCCTGGCGCCTGGGCCTTCAAGAAAGTGGCAGATGGATGTTTTGTCCCACTCGACATCCATTTTGTTCTTAGAGCTTAAGGCTGTTTTCTGTCATTTGTATAGGCTACAGTACATGATAACATATTTATCTAACACACCCTTGTTGTTCGTGTATTTCTGTTTAAGTGCCACCAGTATATCAAACCACATGTTATCAATAGTGGTTACTAAATATATTTTATGACAAAAATGTCATTAAAATAATCAAAATAGCCTCATTTTTTCCTGGTGCTTTTACATTTTATTTTGACAAATCCAGAAGCACATCTTGCTAATTTGCAAATGAATAATCATATGCCTCAAATGTTTCCCCCCTAGGGTTGACACATTTTGACATACAGTGTCATCACACATATGTTTTCAGTGTAATCAAACCAGTGAAAGGCTCATCTTTAAAATATGTATGCAATTGATAAGAAGAAAATAGCAGTTTGCTGGTGAATATATTCACTAGAAGGGCGTGGGAGACTATCTACTGTGAACACCTGCACTCCCTCCTGTGTGGCTGTGAGCATCCTGCTTTTCACATCTTATTGTAACTTTGCTGCATTTTTGGTGTTCAACTCAATGTGATATAATCTAAAGTCATATTAGTACAACTTAGTGGTAATTGTAAATGAATGTAGTGCCTTTCCAGTCTTTAACGACCCCTCAAAGCGCGGTGCCACCTTTTAACATTCACTCACAATCAGACGATACTGGCCATGCCATCAGGAACAATTACGGGTTAAGTATCTTGCCCAAAGATACATTGACATGTTGACTGCACGCCGGACTAGGGGGTCTTATATTCCCCCAGTCCTTCTGACTGTTAGATGACCACACAACCTGGAAGCTACAGTGGGGACAGGTGATTATTGAAATCAATGTTGAAGTTAAATGTGTCTGCTGCCTGGCAACTTTGTGTTTCTAATTCACAATCAACAAAATACTTTCCCCATAGTTTTGCTACTTCACTGAGTGAACCAGGGGCGGTAGATACATTTTTACCCTCTGAGAGTGACATTTTGTTCTACACACGCTTTGGGCAGAGCGCCAGTCAAATTTCCGTTGTTGTGACTTTTAAATGTTCTGCCTCCCGTTCAGTGCCTCTGTGAGTGCACAAAAGAAAATGAGCTGGAGGACAAACAAAAACCAATTTGAAAAAAAAAGGCCATTACTATTTTTCTCTTATCTTTTTAAGGTAATCACAAAGGGACATATTGTGTCAGTGCTTTCTCTCTGCATACGTGTCCATGTGCCTCCGTGTGTTTTCTTGCTCGATTGGTACCTGCAGGCTTGTGTAGTTCGCCGTGCTGCTGCGTTGTTTAAGGCGAAGCAGGCGTGCTCCGCTCTGAGGCTAAAAGAGGCACAGATTGTTGCATTAGCATTAGTTCAGCTAGGCGACCCTCCTCCCGGGCAGATTTGGAGGTGTGTTCATAATGCATGTGTTAATGTTGTTGCGTAATCACGCTGTTGATCATGAAACATCTTTTTCCAGCTCCCACGGGCATGCGTGTGTGTTATCTCAATTATAAAAGCTGAGGCTCACCTGCGAGTGTGCCTTTTTCCCTCCCTCGGTCGTGTGGGATCATTATGCACGTCCCCTAATGTTTTTGCCCCCATTGCCCAAACGTTATCCCTTCTTTCCAGCTCAGTGACTCTGCTTTACCTCCCCAACACTTTCTTCCATGTCGCAGTGACAGATCTGAACCTGGCCAACTCCCAAGTCCCATCTGCCCCTTCACATGGGTCACCACTATTAGTACCTCTCCAACACTGTTTTCTATCAAAATGCATGTTTTGTTATTGTTCAGCACTACTTACATGGTGATACCTGCTGTGG